CAGAAAAAAAATCAAGAAAAAATCAAGATATAAAAACAGAAAATTGGTGTACGTTTGAATTTATAGAGCTATGTTGTTACTATGCTTGCAGAGCAAGTATTTGGCCGTGAGCCCGATGCAGGAGAGCGCGCGCGACGGCCAGTGGATCGTGCCCATCAGCATCTACTTCAACTACAACTCGGTGCCGGAGAAGGCCTCGGCCTTCCTGCGTGACGACGGCCAGTCGGCCACCATCCAGCTGGGCGGCAGCAACCTGGGCGGGACCATCTTCGGCAACTGGCGCGACCAAGGTGCGGGCTTGCCGCGGGCTGCGGCCGATGGCAGGCGGGCCGCGTGTTGCTGTTCAATAACGGAAACGTCTCCTGCGCAGGCTACTTCCACACCAACTACGACTTCCTCAACTGGATCCGCATCGGCAGCGCGTTCGCGGGCGGGTCCGTCCGCGACCCCATGTTCCGAGCCTCCACCATCCACGACGCGTTCGCCCTGGCCAAGGCCGGCCTCGTGGACCCGTGGATGCCGCTGTACCTGCTGGACCAGTCCGTGCCCGGGGAGTACAACGCCGCGCCCTACACCGCCGCCTACAGCGGCCTGCGCACGTACGCCGCCCTCGTCAAGGCCGACCCGGAGGCAGACCGCCTGTTCCAGGTGCGATAGCAGCCAACTGCACGACAGCTGCCGCGCTGCAGTCGGAAAATGAGAAAGCATGCATGAATATTCCGTCAATTTGCAGACGTACTTGCACGATTTCCTGATGGAAATTGGGTTTGCCAACGTTGGCTGGGACAGCTTCCGAGGCAACACTGACGGGAGAGTCGCCCGCGACCTCGTCACCAAGCTGGCCTGCTCCGCCAGGCTGAGCGACTGCCGCACCCGGGCCTTGGAGTCGTACAACGCCTACCTGAAAGACAAGTAAGCGCGCTGTCACTCTAGCCGGCCTAGCCGTATCGACTCGCCGAGACCGTTTACTCGAGCGACGTCTTCCTGCACCCAGGTCCAGCGTGGATCCGAACGTGCTGGCCGCCTCGCTCTGCGAGGGCCTGAGTCATGGCAGCACCGTGGAGTACACCAACCTCTTCGAGGCCCTGATGGCCGAGACGGAGAGGTCACACAGAATGTCCATCGTGTACGCGCTGGGTTGCGTCCAGAACTCTACCATCATTAACGAGTAAGTAAGATTAAACTGTGAAACGTGCGCCGAGTGTCCTCAAGCGCACAGAGTTTCACCGATTTTCTCGTAACAGACTGCTGCAGCTTGGAGGCACGATGCAGGGCTTCGAGCCCCAGGAAGTGCTCCCCCTGTTCCGCTCCATCCTGGACAACAGCGAGGGTGGTATCGACGCGGCTTTGAAATATGTGGTGAAGAACTACGACCTCATGGCTGCCAGGTAAGCGATTTGGTTGGGCCGCAGTAGGGGGTCGTTGGGCTCAAAGAAACACCGAGTTGGTTTAACGACGCTCTAAACTGCCTTTTGGCACTTGCAGCCTAGGACAGAGCAAGGCCGGGGATGTCCTCATGACCGTCGCCCAGAGACTGTACTCTGAAGGACACTACCAGTGGGTGAGTAGTCGCGTAGCGCCCCGTCCCGTCACCCGAGTGTGACAACAGCGCGTGCGACTTCTGACTGTGACCACCCCGTCTCGCTGCAGATCAGCACGCTGCAGAGGATCAGCGACGCTCCGAACGTGCGCGACGCCGTGGACCTGGTGGCCGTCAACGTGGAGTGGACGTCGAGCACGCTCCCCACCCTGAAGGACTACCTGGCCGCCAGGTTGGGCGAGAAGCCCGCGCCGCCGCCGACTCCGTCAGAGACCCCCGTGCCACAGCCGAGCCCAAGTCCGGTCGTCCCGACCCCGGGCATCGGCCCCACCGAGCCCCCACGACCTGACGACCCGACCATCGCGTGGCGCCTGCCGAGCACCCTGGAGCCCCTCAACTACAAGCTGCAGATGGTGCCTTTCCTCGAAGTCGATAATTTCGAGTTCAAGGGTTTGGCGGACATCACCATCTTGGCGAAGGAGAGCACTGCCGACATTGTCATGCACGCCAAGGATCTGGACATCCCGTTACAACCGGTGGAAGTGTACGACGTAGCCACGAACAAGCAGTACACCGTGACCGACCTTAGCTTCGACGAAGAGAAGAGCTTCCTCAAGTTAAAGTTGGACCAGAGCCTCACACAGGGAAGCCAGTACGTTGTGCACTTGGAGTTCAGCGCACCGCTGCGCACCGACAACTTCGGTTTCTACGTCAGCAGCTACGTCATCAACGACGAGACCAAGTAAGTTCTTTCATGGTAGCTAAAATGAACCTAAAAATGATTACTTTACCGGGATTCCCACGCTCAACTGTATGTCCGCTTGCTACCAGGTACATGGCCACGACGCATTTCGAAGCGACCAGCGCACGCAAGGCGTTCCCCTGCTTCGACGAGCCTCGGTTCCGAGCTACCTTCGACATCTCTGTCGCCAGGTTGCCGGCGCAGACCGCTCTGTCTAACATGCCAAAGATCGGCACCTCAACCCCTGAGTAAGTAGGGCAAATTCCTTAGTAAAACTCCCCCCCCCCTCCTCAACTATAGTGCCAGTGCGATAACGAAGGCAAACGTCTGTCTGTCCGCAGTGCTGCCCTAGGAAACCGAGTTTGGGACGACTTCGCCACCACGCCCGACATGCCCACGTACTTGGTGGCCTTCATGGTGCACGAACTGTCCAAGGTATCCACGAGGAACAGCGCCATCAACATTTGGGTGCGGCCGAACGCCGTCAAGGACACCAAGACTGCCGTCGAGATCGCACCCGAGGCCATCAAGGCCATGGAAGACTACACCAACTTCAAGATGCCCCTGCCAAAGGTCGACTTAGTGGCCATCCCGACGTTCCCGATCGGTGCCATGGAGAATTGGGGACTTGTTACATTCAGGTATGCGCCAATGCACCGCCCCTCAACTTCGCTACTGTATAACTTTACATACAAAGCCATTTTAGCATTAATGATGCCTTTCTCGAAAAGGGAGGACTACATCATCAACCCCACGAAGGCCAAGTCGGAGCACTCCTGGTCGTGCTCGAGTGTCATCCAGCACGAACTGTCCCACTTCTGGTTCGGCGACCTGGTGACCATCGACTGGTGGAGCGCCGCCTGGCTCAAGGAAGGGATGGCCAGTTTCCTCGAGTTGTACATGCTCGACAGGGTAACCATATTTATCCATCCTTATCCCACGCCCAGCTTCCATCAACGCAAAATAATGAGAATAAAGTTAATTTTTGATTTGTATTATTTCCCATGACTCAGGCTGACGACGACAAGTACGCCGCGTTCAAGCGCATCCTGTACGAGCACGTGGAGCCTGCCATGCAGGTAGACGCGCGCGTATCGGCGGACGTCCTCACGAACTACACGGTAGCATCCCCGGATGAGATCTCTGACCACATGGGCACCATCACGTACTCCAAGGGTATGTTTCCCGGCAGGCGAGGCAGATGTGTTGCGCGGCACTACTGAAACGGGCCTCTTCATACTCTGGTTCTTTTTTTCTGTCAGGCGGCAGCTTTTTGAGGATGATGATGCACTTTGTCGGTGAGGGCGCCTACAGGACAGGGCTAAGCGATTACATCCGCACCAAGTAAGATCAGGGCACAGAAAGCAAGCTAAAAACTATTTTCCGGCGGACTGTGAATGCAACATGATTTCTTTTCTCAGCGCCTACGGCTGGGGAAGTCCGGAAAAACTCGCCTCCGCCCTGCAGAACGCTGCGGACGGCACGTCGAAGCGGATGCGAGTCACCGTCCAGGAAATGTTCGACTCGTGGACACTCAAGCAGGGCTACCCCGTCGTCACATTCGTACGCGACCGCGAGAACGGCATCGCGACTCTGACACAGGTACGCACGGTTCTTTCGTTCACTAGTGAACTTCTCATTGGATCTTTTCTCCGCGCTTTTCTCCGCCACGCGCAATTATCGAATTTCGATTTTGCCGCCCTTAGAAACGCTTCGTGACGCACGACCCCACCCCGGACTACAAGGGCGACGCCACGTGGAACGTCCCGTACAACCTGTGGATCGAGGGCCAGCCCAAGCCGGACACCTACAGCGACGTCCTCCTCGAGAGCCAGAGCGAGAAGGTGATCCTGGTGGACGGCGCCGACAACAAGCTCGTCCTCCTGAACGCCGAGAAGACCGGTAAGCCGTCTGCCACTCGCTTGCTTGACCGGGCGCCTTACGACGGCAGGGTAGGCCGTGCCGCACGGCACCAGAGCACTGCGGGACTGCCTACCGCGCGGGGGCTCCCCCCCGCACCCCGCCAGCTCCAGCTCCAACCTAAACCCACGCTTCGCGTGCCCGCCCACAGGCTTCTACCGGGTCAACTACGACCTCCTCTCCTATATCTACGTGAACGGCCGGCTGCAGCGGCTGAGCATCGCCAGCGCGGAGCAGCGCGCCGCCCTCATCGACGACGCCGTGGCGCTGGCCATGGCGCGCCAGCTCGAGCCGTGGGTGCCGCTGTCCGTCCTGGAGAGCGCCCTGCCCTACGAGACGGACCTGCTGCCCTGGATCGCCGCGCGCAACGCCATCTTCCGGCTCCGCGCCATCCTCGGCGGCGACTCCAAGTCCCGCGCGCTGCTCGACGTGAGTGTCCCGCGGCCGCGTGCCACTATCAAGGGGTGCTTCACTAAATATTCAGTCGAACACTGATTATTTTTCTCAACCTTTTCTCGATATCGATACCTCCTATTAATATGCGCTTATTTCTTTTTAGCCCAAACAAACCCGCTCATTACTAAGGGCTCTAAACAGAACCGCTCATCTGCGCGGGTCCTACACAGAACCGCTCATCTCTCTGAAATACGGGCAGGTGATTCCCAGATTTCAATGGATGTTCCTAGGTGCTGAGCTTCAATTTAGAAACAAAAAATGTAACATGCCCTCTTGTCTGTACTGGAACATCATATTTAAACTACTATAGCCCGTAAAAGCCTCCGATATTGGGTGATATTATAGTAAATACGAGGGACAACATAACCTAACCAGCGCCCCGGCCGCGAGCAGATGAGCGGTTCTGTGTAGGGCCCGCGCAGGTAAGCGGTTCTGTGTAGAACGCGAGGTGATGAGCGATTACGTTTAGCCTAAAGAATTATAAGCGCATATTGATAGGAGGTACCGATATTTCTTGATTTTATTTTAAATTCTTTTTTCTTGATTTTTCTGTTTTTTCATCTCGATTTCTCTTTAAAATGTTTAGTACCTCTCGGCTACTACCCTCCTAAATTCCTCGTTTCTAAACGCCGTCCCCTCCGCCTGCAGCAATTCGTCGCCAACCTGGTGCAGCCCGCGTACGAGAAGATCGACTGGGACTCGCGCTGGCCCTCGCTCGAGGCGTACAACGACAAGCTGCTGCGCGACGTGGTCTCGCAGGTCGCCTGCTCCGCCGGCAGCGTGCTCTGCGCGAGGAGCGCGCGCTTCGACTTTGAGTCGTGGTACTTCGAGACGGCCGCGCCCAACCCGGACACGCTGGCCGCCACCCTGTGCCAGGGCTTCGGCACCATGAAGGAGATGCTGTTCCCCGTCACGTGGGCGCGCTTCCTCGTCGAGGAGGACCCCACCGTGCGCTCCGCCATCCTCTACGGCTTCGGCTGCATGAAGGGCGACGGCTCCACCCGGTGAGCCGAGCTGAAAGCAAACAGAGCTCGCTGTTGCAAAGGGTTTGTGAGGAGAGGGGGAGTAACGCCCAATCTGTGTCCTGCAGCGTGCTCCAGGCGGCCCTCAACCACGCTGGAATCAAGTCCAACGAAGCCAAGCTCTTCTTGAATTCGTTCATCGTGCACTATCCCGACGGAGTGGACCGCCTCATTGACTTCATCGACACATACTACGACCAAATCAAAAAGAAGTAAGATATCCTGTTGACGTTTTGTGTAGCCCCCGCCTCACTGCGGTTCGATATCGTTTCGATAGCAGTCTAACACCCCCTCCTCCCCTCCACCAGCACTGGTGTACAGGCGATCGCCGCGGTGCTGCAGCTGGCCGCAGAGAGAATCTCTACCAAGATGCAACACTATTCGGTGAGCAATCCCTCCAAAGGCACTAATGAGTATGTGGTTGGACTTCACCAGTAGCGCTTCTAACAAATCGACGTTTCAGATCTCCAAAATGACAGAAAGGGACCCTTGCATCGAGATGACGGTGGTCAACCAAACGGCCAACTTCCACTGGAGGTGGATCGAGGAGGACCTCCCGGTCGTCTTGGACTACCTGGAGGCCGCAGCCGGGGAGTCCCCGCCACTGCCGCCCACGGCGGGCCCACCGACCGTGCCCACCCTGCCCCCAGAACCCACGCCGAGCGGCGACTTCAGGCTGGTGTCAACCGTCATCCCCCAGGACTACAAGGTCAAGGTGGTGCCCTACCTGTCGGGAGACAAGCAGGGGACCTTCGAAGGCGAGGTGACCATCACCGTGGCCACCACAGACGACGTGAGCAGGTTCTACATCCACACCGCTGGCCTCAACTTCGGCAAGGACGACGTCACCATCCTGGACGACAAGCAGAGCCCCGTGATGTTCGACGCCTTCTCGAAGAACGAGCTGCACGAATGGGCGCAGTTCTCGTTCTGGGACACAACTTTAAGAGTCAATAAAGTCTACACCATCAAGGTGTCCTACACCGGCACTTTCAGCAACGACATGAAGGGCTTCTACCTCACCAGCCAAGACGGAAACCAAGGACCAATGTAAGAGTTTTACTTAAACATTCGCGAAGCCTTCAGCACTCATGGGCAAGTTTATAACCAACACTAATTTCCAGGACTGTCGCGATGACGAAACTAGCGCCCACCTACGCCAGACGAGTGTTCCCCTGCTTCGACGAGCCGGCTCTCAAGGCCACGTACACCCTCACTGTCGGCGCGCTGCAGACTGAAACAGTGGTGTCCAACACAGCGGTGGTGTCTACTTCTCAGCCAGAGTAAGTCGTGCCTCCAAGAACACACTGATCGCTTTCATAATTAATTATTACAAGGAGTCTCATTTTTCATTTATTTCTGTACTCCCTCCCGATAGCGCCTCCATCGGCAACCGCGTCCTGGTGACTTTCGAGACAACCCCGAAGATCTCGACGCACGGTCTGACAATCGTAGTGTCCTCGGGCCTCCAGTCCCGCAGCAGCATCGACAAGAAGATCACGCTCTACGGTACCGACAAGCTCGTCGCCAACGGCGAGGACACCATCAAGGCCGCCGAGAGCATCATCAAGACCCTGGAGACCATCACCGGCACTCCGTCCGGCCTCGACGCCATGGCTCTGATTGGAGTGAAGGATGTGGTCGTGGAGGGGTCCGACAACTGGGGTGTGGACATTCTGAGGTGAGCCAAAGGGTTGTCTCAATGAGTATAGCCTCGGTGGTCTCGAGGTATGTTTCTCACCTTCGCGACCCTTCTTGATTCAGAGAGAACGCCCTCGTGAAACTCGACACAACGGCGTCCGCCGGCGAAGCCGACATCTACTGGCTGACCTCCACAGCGCACCGCATCGCCCAGCACTGGTTCGGCAACCTGGTCAGCATGACCTGGTGGGACAACGTGTGGCTGACAGACGGCTTCGGCACCTACTTCCAGTACAAGGCGGCCGTGCAGACGGACGCCCCCGGCAGCCTCATGCTGTACCCGGCCACGTTCGCCTCTCGCGTCGTGTCGCCCGCGCTGCTCGCCGACTCGCTCGAGTCCGCCCCGGCCCTCAACAACCAGCACGTCATCGGCTCCACGGCCGGCGTCGAGAAGAGCATCGGTGACATCTCTGCACTCAAGGGTACGTGACACGCTCACGCCGAGCCCGCCCAGTAAATGTGCAACGTCTGGGGGAAGAAGAGGGCGGGGAGGGGGGGTGGGGGGTGGCTCGGGAAGAACTTTGTCCTAACGAATGGGCGCTTCTTGTTCTCGCAGGGGGCGCTATCGTCAACAGTCTCCCTCTCATTCTGGGTGCTACCGCCTTTGAAAGCGGTTTGAAGAACTTACTGACCACAAAGTAAGAATATCACCAGCCGCTGCGGTGGCGCGCTCGCGCTCTCGGCCAACGGTAGTCCGGGGACCCCTGCTAACCTAACCGCTCACTCGAATGTCCCTCAGCTACCTCGGTGGCGTGGAGCCCTCGGCGCTGTACTCGGCGCTGCAGGCCGGAGTGGACGGCGACTCGTCTCTGCCCGACGGCGTGGACGTGAGCACAGTCCTCAGTTCGTGGGTCGACCAGCCCGGCTACCCCGTGGTCAACGTGATCAGGGACTACAACAAGGACTCGGCCACGCTGTCTCAGGTGGGCCTACAGGACGACACCCGTCGTGTCGATTTCTCTGGGCGGCATGTTTCGCTCATTCAAGAGTTGTGCGGCGTCGTTTGCAGGAGCGCTTCCTTCTCCACTCGCCCTCCGGCAGTGCCGACATGGACGGCAACTGGTACATCCCCGTGAGCTACAGCGCGAGAAATCAGTACGCGAAAGAGTACTCCACGACGCCCGTCAAGGCCTGGCTGGCGCCCAGCACGACCACCGAAGTGCCACTGCCGCCCAAGAGCGGCGCCCAATGGCTACTCGTCAACTTGGATCGCAAGGGTAAGAGGGGTAGCATTCACAAAACGCAATTGAAAAGGAAAGGTTTGCATAGCGGGATTGTTTTTCACGATTCGGAAAATGCCGTCCTTCCCCAGGCTTCTACCGAGTCAACTACGACGTGGTAAACTGGCAGCTGCTGGCGCTGTACAACAGTCAGCCCGGCAACCACATGTACATCGAGATCCCCACCCGGGTTATGCTGCTGGACGACGCGCTGTCCCTGGCGCGCACGGGCCGCCTGGACTACGTCACCGCCCTGCAGTACGTCGACTACCTCCGCACCGAGTACGTGACGCACGAGATCTACGCCGCGGCCCGGGAGGCCTTTGGCGCGCACCTCGAGACCTTCGTCCTGGGCACCAAGCTGGAGGCCGTGTACAAGGCCTGGGTGGGCGGCCTCTTGGCCGGCGCCATCAAGTACTTTGACTACACCCCCAAGCCCGACGACAACTCGCGGTTCCTCGTAGCGCGCAGCGTCGTCATGGAGTGGGCCTGCGACCTGGGCATCGAGGAGTGCGTTCAGCCCGCGCTCAAGGACTACCCGTCCTGGGTGGAGGTCATCAACAGGTGCGTAGTTGGGTGTGCCGGAGTGCGATAGGGCCGCCGCCCCTCCGGCCAACATGCCGCTCATCACGACTCTCTACTCTCTGCATGCCCAGCGTGCCCCACGATACGGTGGGCTCCACGGTGTGCGCCGGCGTCAGGAACATCGACGGCCCCGAGGACTTCGAGAGGGCCGTCACCAACCTGGACCTGGAGATGAACGACGTCTACCGGAAGGCCATCATCAGAGGCCTTGGCTGCGTGCGCGACAACACGTTCGCCCAGAGGTAAGTTGAGCGCATGAGCGCCTCCCGGCCCCGGTGGTATTCCCATTCGACGGTGGTCCTCACTCACAACCGAATGACTTTGTGCCGCAGCCTGCTCGCCCTGGCCACGGAGCAATCCGCGCTGCGCGCCGGCGAGGCGCTGGAGGTCTTCAAGTCCGTCACCCGCTTCGGACCCAGCACCGTCGACAACGCTCTGGACTTCTTGAAGGAGAAGGTCATCGAGCTGTACAAGGGGTAGGTATTCGTGTGGTTTACAAGTTTCCGCCCGATCCTCAGCCCCCCGTGCCCCAACCCACCCTTGTCCCTGATCTCGGTTAAAGAATAGATCTCTATTCGCGCAGGTCCGGCATGGAGGCCACCAAGTCCATCATCTCGCTGGTAGCAAGCCGCATCACCACCGAGGCTCAGAACACAAAGGTAATTCCCGAGCCCTGCGTCCCTCCGCTCGCAGTCACACGATTCTTATCCGCAAGCCCATAACGCTGTTCCTATCGTTATTTAGCTCAAGGCCGTCGTGAAGATGCTGCTGAACGGGTCGGCCTCGCGCGAGATCACCGTGGCGCAGCTGCTGGTGGCCGACAACCTGCAGTGGCAGGCCGCGCACCTGGACGAGGTGGGCGACATGCTGTACGCGCTGAGCGGGGTACCCAACCCCGACTTGCCGGCGCCGCCCACCACCACGGCGCCGCCCACCACAACCACCCTCGTCATCCCTACGGGAGTGTCGCCGGTGGACCCCACCGTCGTCACCCCCGACGACGCCAGCACGGCCTCCTGGTTCACGCTGCCGCCCTCCGTGCCCACGAGCCCGGCCACACTGCCGCCGCTGCCGCCCTCCGGGCCCACCACCGGTAGACCCGGCCCCAGCAGCTCGACCACAACGCCCGTGCCCGACACCACCACGAAGAAGAGCGGTGCGGCGGGCGCGGCCATCAACGTGCTGCTCCTCGCCGTGTCCCTCCTATGGCTGCAAAGGCCCCAACAGATCTAGTCCCAGTGGTTCACGACTGAGAGGAATATGTCCACATGTAGAACTTAGTATTACAAGAGAGTAATTTATTACGGTACTTAGGTGTAAGAAAAATAAGAAATATGATTAAAAACTTTTCCCAATAAAAAGCCATGTTATATTGTTTACCGAAGCCAACTGTAAAAAATGTAGGCCATAGCCAATATAGCCGATTTACATACAAATTAGTGTCACCAAGCGGCGGAAAGGGGGCTATTCTAGCGCCCCGGGCATGGGGCTGCGCACCAAGCCGGCAGTAAGGCATGTATTGATCGCGACTGTTATACCGGGGCTAAATCCACCATTCGTGTGTGGTGTGGTGGCGTGCTGGATCGCAGCTCGATTCGGCTCTCCGTGTCGTAGGTTCGCCTCTTGACTTTTGGGGGATTTTCGTTTGTTTTTTTTTCTATTTTTTTAACTCCAGCTAAAAGAGGCTAGCCAGACGAGCGTGTTCGTGGCCAGAACTTTGCGGCCGCAACGCGTACCCCGAAAATCAGCTTATACCGGACCGACTATAGCTATCGAGACCGTAAGGAGGCCAGCCACAACGCACCACAACGATGCCACGACCTCTCTTATAACCCATGGAGGCCCGAGGGTTGTCCCAGTGACCACACGACCGCGTCCCCCGGGTGGCCTACCGCACAGGGGTCCAGCCACAACTCGCCACAACTGCCCCATCGCGCAAATACCGACGTGTCTCTATGTGGCTGGTTTGCGGCTGTGCTCTAGAACCTACAATCGCGTCCATCGGGTTGCCTACAACACAGGGGTCCAGCCACAACTCGCCACAAATGCTCCAACGCCAAAATACCGACCTGTCTCTATGCGGGTGGTCTGTGGCTGTGCCCCGTTAAACGGCGGGGCGCGCGTGCCTCCGGCCAAGGAAGACAGAAGTGCCCCCATTCGGCCGCGCCGTGACAGAAATTTCAACGTAAATCGGCTCTATCTCTGGACCTACTGGAGGTACAGCGTCCAGATTTCGGCTGTAGATTTCTGTAGTAAAACTAAACGGATCCTTAAGTGAGCAATCACCTCAAGCACAAGCACACCAGTTTTATATCGATTCAAAGTAGGGTCCTAAGGGCAAATTCGTAGAAAACCGACTCCTCGGAAACACATACCACCGCGACCTGGCTTTGCAGAGCAGTTTATATTCATCGGGAAACCAGTTTTATATCGTCAAATTCGGCAAATTCGTAGAACGTCGATTTTTCGGAAACTATTCATCCCACAACGACCTGGCTTTGCAGGGCACTTTATATTCACAAGCCGAACATTCCTGGCTAGTCTCCATTAGCTGGGGTAAAAAAATAAAGAAATAAAAAAATACCCCAAAAGTCAAGAGTCGAACCTACGACACGGAGAGCCGAAACGACCAGCGGTC